CTTGAACCCAGGAGGTGGAGGTTGCAGTGAGCCGAGATCACACCATTGCACTCCAGCCTGGGCAACAGAGGAGACTCCATCTCAAAAAAAAAAAAAAATCTCATAATACCACTTTAAAAAATATTCTTAGGTATATGAAAGTTAAAAGTGCTGCTTTTTCTGTTTCATTCTGAACCACAGGATCAGCTATTTGGTGCACATATTTTTGTTTCTGTGTGTGTGTATCTTTGTTATATTAACATACTCAATTTACAGTAATTTTAGACATGTTCTACTTCCAGCACTGACATTTTCTGCCAGCATTAAGTGCTCTCTATGTATTTATAGTGTTCGGACTGTAAAAGTTATATAATGAATTAATGGGTTAAAATGATTTCTTAATTAAAATCATTGCTATAACTTACATTTCTATAAAACCAATTGGTTTTTATAAGTCATATAAAATGAAAAATGGAACTTTGTGATACAGAGGACAAATTGCATTAATGATTCATAGGTATTATGAGTGAAATGAAAAATTACTAGACAAGGAGAAGAAAAAAGAAAGTGTTTATCCTGCTACCAAATATTCAGTGAATGGATTGTAACTACAATCTTGTCTTTTATGTTTCCCATGGTAATTGTCAGGAAGAGGTATGAAGAATTGTGGGACCTTAATAATATGCCTTGCCGTTTTAATTGCTGAGAGAAGCAAGAGAATTTTAATTGCCAGGAGATACATTACTAATTAAAGTGTCATTCTACATCCATTCTGAAATAATTAGTTTGAATATTTATAAGAGCCGAGATATAAATTTAGTTTCAAATTTAGGAGCATACCCACAACACACTTTGTTAAAACTATCTATGGTTAAGAAAGGTTAACAATCATAAAACTTTAAATGTTTCTTTAATTTGATACAATTTAATTTTTTATTGGATTATTCAACTGAAAACTGGAATTCACAGTATTTTAAAACTTAGTATTCCTTTTATATTAAAGTCCTAAATTGCTTTCATGTTTCTGGGGCATTGGGTTGTTAAATTTTTTAGTTTTAGCATTCATTACAGTTCAAGGGAAAATCTTTTGTAAATGATGCCAACATGAGTATAATGTCATACGTGAATTATAAATTCTGTTGATACCACATGGAAACTTGTAAATGTAGTCATGATTCAGTGGACTTTTAAAATTCTAGACTAAATCTCAAATACTCAGCTAAAATAAATTAACTGAAAATGACATGTGCTTGAGCTGAAACAGTAAACTTAACACAAAAAAGTAAATACATTAAATATAAAATGTGACTTGAAACATTTTGAACATGTGGTTACCTAAAATCATCAGTTGAAGTTTTATGAAGATTAAGGACACATTAGGAAAATGAAAAAGATGCAAAAATGTTTTTCTTCATATGGTTATTGCATAAAATTAAAGTCATGCCTTATACTTGGCTTAATAATTATAAGGTTTACGTTTACAACACTTTAAATACTCACTTTTTTCCCTGTATAACTGGTATACAATTACATTTGTTACAAAGGCTGTTGATGGATTTAATTTGCTTGCCTTTTTGTTTTTTTGGGATTTGGAGCGCAGAGCATTGAATACTGATATTTCTCTTTTTTTTTTTTGAGACGGAGTCTGGCTCTGTCCCCCAGGCTGGAGTGCAGTGGCCGGATCTCGGCTCACTGCAAGCTCCGCCTCCCGGGTTCACGCCATTCTCCTGCCTCAGCCTCCCGGCTAGCTGGGACTACAGGCGCCCGCTACCTCGCCCGGCTAGTTTTTTTTTGTACTTTTTAGTAGAGACGGGGTTTCACCGTGTTAGCCAGGATGGTCTCGATCTCCTGACCTCGTGATCCGCCCGTCTTGGCCTCCCAAAGTGCTGGGATTACAGGCTTGAGCCACCGCGCCCGGCCTTGATATTTCTCTTTTAATGACTCATCATCACCAGTCCCTTTTTTGTTTTACTTAAATATTTCATTTCTGATCCCATCTCTTATTTCGCTCCTGTCCACATAGGTACCTGTCTTAGTCCATTTTGTGTTGCTCTAATGGAATACCACAGACTGGGTAGTTTATAATGAACAGAAATTTATTTGGCTCACAGTTTTACAAGCTGGGAAGTCCAAGATTAAGGGGCCAGCATCTGGGGAAGGCCTTCTTGCTGTATTAAAATATGGTGAAAGGCATCACATGGGTCAAAGAGAGAGGAGGACTGAATTCATCATTTCATCAGGATCTCACTGCCATAATAATGGCATTAATCCATTTGTGAGGGCGGAGCCCTTTGTGATCTTAAAGGTCCTACTTCTCAACACTGTTGCATTTGGGTTTTAAGTGTCTGACACATGAACTTTGGGAGACATATTCAAATCATAGCAGTATCCACTCTATATTGGTTAATATAGCCATGGATGTTGTTTGTCCCTGTAAAATGTGTAGTGTGTTGTGTGTGTGTGTGTGTGTGTGTGTGTGTGTGTGTGTTAAATGTAGATGTTTTGTGCTATAGATTTTTTTTTCATTAAACATCCAATATTTAAGACCAATGTTCATTGTTATGTATTCTTTTAGGTCACTGCTTCTTTTACTACCTGGCATACCACAGTGTCTACTACATTTTACCTATTTGATCCTCTAATGATAAACACCTGAATTGTCTCCAACTCCCATCATTATAAATAGTATTCCAGTAGTTGTCCTTGATCATGTCCATTCACAGTCCTGTGGTAAGAATTTCTCCACAATGTATAACCAGGAATGAGGCATACAGATTCTTAATTTCACTAAGTATTTCAAGATTGCTTTCCAGATTATCTGTTCCTACTTACAGTGCTACTCTCCTATCTCCTTACCCAAAATAGGTTTCACTGACCTTTCTAATTGTTGTTTTTCTGATAAGGGGAAGCAATGATATTTTTCTCCTTGAACTATCAGTAGAGTAATTTATATTGGTGGGGATTTTCTTTATGTTAAACTATCCTTACATTCATGGAAAACAATTTTTTATTTAAATGTTATGAGAATTTTTAAAAATTAAATAAAATTTAAATAATACCCTTCAGTTTATCTGACTGCTAATGAATTAAGGTAAATGTTCTTTAAAAAAAAAAAAAGAAAAAGAAAAAGGCTAGTTAAGCTGCTGCTTTTGTGTTTATATTCACCCCCACTGCCAAATTTCACATCTCAGCTTATAAGTTACATTGGTATATAATTTTTTTTCTTCACTGTTCTGAAATGATTTTCAGTCTAGGAATCAAAGGCATATTAACCTCTTTAAATCAGTTGGACAGTAATTTTTTCGCATTCTCTTTTTCCCTTTGTTTCTCTTTTTTTTTCTTTTTTTACTGAAACGTTTGTATAAGCGGGATTTTTCAGTCATTGGGAGTTTGTTAGAAACGTATTTTTAATAATGTCTGGATTGGAAACTTGGGTTGGAGGTAAGGGAAAGTATTTTTGAATACCTTTGGTGGCTATTTCAAGTTTTTTAGTAATTCTTAGTCGGTTTACATTTTTGCATTTTACATCAGTTTTTCCTTTGGAAAGTATCATTTTTTTCCCAGATTATTCTTAGATTTAGCTATTAATATTTTAATATTTAAAATCTTCTGATGTGTTTTATCTATCCTTTTATAAATTCTTTTTTATTTCATTTTTCTCACTTCAAATATTCTGTTTAATTTCTATTATTCCTGCAGAAGTTTGTCTCCAATACTAATCTTTTCAAGCACCAATAAATGTGTATTAATTTCCTCTCTCTTAAAAAATCTTAGTTCCATTAATTTCCTCCCAAATCTTCATTATTTCTTTTCTTCTGTTTCCCTAGGATTGTTGGGTTGTGTTTTTTCTAAATCCTTTGGTTGAATAATTCAACTTATTTTTCCCTGTATTTCTTATATCCCAATAGCCTTGAGTTTTTAATATGAAATTTTTGTTTTTGTTTTATTTTATTACTCAAGTAAACAGTTTTTTCCCCAATTCTTTTGCAGTTGTTTCACCTCAAAAGAACGTTTTTTTCTGCTTATATTGAGTTTTTTGTGTAAAATTTTCACCTAGTTTTATCTTTAATTTCATTCTCTATTAACATAAGGAAGAATCTTTCTTCTTCAACATAGCATTACACTTTATAATTTTCTTTTAGAATTTTTCTTCTGTTATGTGGTGCTTCTGTATTCTCTGGAGCATAATCTTTTTTTTTTTTTTTTAATTTTTGCTTGTATTACCATTCGTAGATACTTGTCTAAACAACCTAGGACAGATAGTTGTAAATATACTTCTTTGATAAATAGTTGTATATATGGCTTCTTGAAAGTCTTTTTTTTTTTTTTTTAACTTTTAAGATTAGAGTACAAGTGTAGGTTTGTTACATAGGTAAAATTTTTGTCATGGAGGTTTGTTGTACAGATTATTTTATCATCTAGATATTAAGCCTAATAACTAGTTGTTTTTCCTGATTTTCTTCCCTCCTCCCATCCTCCACCCTCAGAAAAGCCCTAGTATGTCTTGTTCCCCTCTATGTGCCCGTGTATTCTCATCATTTATCTCCTGTTTATAAGTGAAAACGTGGTATTTTCAGATATCAGCTTCCCTTAATCTCATTCATTCAGGCTTTTCATTACTCTCATCAATGAATTGTTTTGACCAGGTGACCAAGTCTGACCAAAGTAGCTTGAGAGCTTAGGCACCCTTTCCCTTAATCTTCATTAGCACGCTTCGAGATCTCTGATGTAAGAGTTGAGGTTTTCTGAATCTTAAAGTGCTATGCAAGTTCAACTGCTTAAAGAATCCTCTAGGTCCTTCTTTTCCCCTGACATCTCATTCATATAAAAATACTGTTTTCCATAATACCCACCTGTGTAGAAATTTCAGACTCTGGTTACTGACCCTCATCAGTCAACGGTGTCTCGCTGGATTGTGTGCTTATTTTTTCTCCCCCCATTAAGCATTAACCTTCTAGTTTAGAAATGCAATGGGTTTGGTACTTTTTCATCTTATTGATCCTCACAGATGTGATTTCTACTCAAAGTAGGAAGTAACCTTGATCTTTTATGGGCTCATTGATACAAAACATATTTTCATCTTCAGAATCCTATAGCACTTTGTACTATATATTTTTAATTATATCTGAAGATATCTTTCTTAGCTCTCTTACTCGTAAGTGTCCTGTGGCAATGATTTGTGTCATTTTCATCTTTAATTCCTCATTTTAATTCCTAGCACACTGTTTTACAATGAACAAGTCCCTAATAAATAATCTTAAATACCTCTATTTTTCTAGTCTGTTATTTATTCAGTAACTATAATTTGTAACTATTCTACAACTATTCATTTTTCTTAAAAACAAAAAGATATCATTTGTCTAATATTGTTTTGTTTTGCTTCATTCTGTGGAGATAAATTTACATTATAAAATTTAGGTTTGGAGAAACCCAATTCCAAAAGGCAATTTCTATGAGGATGCCTTGTCATGCCACAGGTTCTGTCTCTGTTCCCAGTAGGCAGATCTAGTTTAGGACTGTCTCACAGCAGCCACTTAGTTCAGTTGGGTAGATCTGGTGCTAATAGTCTAGGGTTTCCTGTAAGGTCTTGTTGTCCTTCTTCATCCTCACTTTATCAAATGCTTGATAAAGTATTATTGGAAAACGTGGGAGTAAGACTTGCGGTGGAATTTTTGTAAAAGTTTTAAAAGGTCCCAGGAGACATGAGTCACTTTCACTGATGTAGGGCTCAGTGTATCATCCATCAGTCTACAACTCTTGCCATTAGCCTTTAAAACAAGATCTATTTGTCATGGAGTTATTATCAACAATTCAAATATATATGTGTTTTCATCAATGATACAGCAATATTTTCTACTAGTTCTTACAGGAATGTGTGGTCAATATCAATAGGATAATTCTGATAATTATGACTTTTCTGTAAAAGTCTTGTGAACATACTGGAAAGGTTCTTTAACAGACTTTCTTAAAATAAAACATATTTATTATCTGGTATACTGTTACCTTTTTAGAGTACTCAGCTATTACTCTAATTAGCAAGCTGATCCAAACATATGACTTCTTACATCTCTGACATCCAAATATAGTAGATTAAATGCATCTGAAGAATCGATCACATTAAATAACATTCTTATTTAGTTCTTACAACACTATGTGACAGGTATGATGAAGCCAATTTACAAGATCACTAAGGCATAAGGAGGTTAAGAAATTTGCCCAAAGTCATTTAGCTAATAAGTGACCATGATTTGAACTCATTTGTCTGATTCCAGAGCTTGTTCTCTAAACTGCTAGGCAACACCACCTACTAATAAAAAATACTTTTCTCCTTAAGTGATCACTGTCAGTTCATGATACTCAAGTACCACCAGAGGCCAGGCAACCCAAATACTTGTGTGAAGTGATTAGGTTATAAGTAATGAGGACTGGAAATATCAGGATTATAGGAATCAAAAGATCATGTCCTGCAAAAGGGATTTCAAAATATATTTTTAAATGCTCAGCTTTCAAAGCACATTGGCAAGCCAGATTTGGTCCATGAGGTCACCATTTTTTATTTTTTGGTTTATAGAAACATCCCTCTGCATTACTACTTTTGAATAATTTAGAGGCTCTGCTAATTGCCACATACCCGGACACAGTATTTATTTCTTTTCTTAACAGCTAAGGAACCTTGGATAGTCACATATTTTGAAATTGATTTCACTGAAATAAGAGAATGAAAGGAATAAAAAATGTACTTTTTCTTGTTTAAATCTTTCTTCATGTCATTTATTAAGAATAATGACGGCCGGGCGCAGTGGCTCAAGCCTGTAATCCCAGCACTTTGGGAAGCCGAGACGGGTGTATCATGAGGTCAGGAGATCGAGACCATCCTGGGAAACTCCGTCTCTACTAAAAAATACAAAAATCTAGCCTGGCGAGGTGGCTGGCGCCTGTAGTCCCAGCTACTCGGGAGGCTGAGGCAGGAGAATGGTGTAAACCCAGGAGGCGGAGCTTGCAATGAGCTGAGATCTGGCCACGGCACTCCAGCCTGGGCGACAGAGCGAGACTCCATCTCAAAAAAAAAAAAAAGAATAATGACATTTCCATTGATGTACATTGCTGCTAATCGGCCATCAAATCAAATCTGTTATCTCTTCTGTGGCTATCTGAGGCCTGGCCTATTATGTACTCAATAATTTGCAAACTCTAAATATTAGGGTTTTGATTTAGGACATAAAATTCATCATCAGTCTGATATTTATTTCTCATCTCAGAATTGTGTCAGTTTGTAAGTTTGGCATGATGAATATCTCAGTTTATAACTATGTCTTAAGCCTGTGACTTTGTAGTGAATTATAGGAAAAACAAATCTGCATAATATCTTTTAGCCTAGTAAATGTATTTGCTCTCCTCTGTTTAGTTACTTTGCTGAAATATCACTTAGAGACTATGTTGGGAGGCGTTGTTGAAATAGACTTGATATGTTAAAAGGTTAGCCTACTTTGAACTGATTATAGCAGTTCAAGGAATTTACCTTACTACAAAAGCAAATGATTATGATTGTTTAAATGTAAGATTAGGGAACAAAATCCCTTGTGTTAAAGTCCTCTAGAGTTTAGATAAAAATCAAAATCATCCTTTTAAAAGAATTCAGGTACAATAAATAGAATTCAGATCAGCGAATGTTCAAACTCCTAAATCACTGGCAAATTAGGTAATATACAGAGCTGGAGATGTGAATATTATATAATGAGTATAATAAAGGAGTTGAATGTGATGTGCCTCGGGTGCATGTTAGTAGCTAATTCCAATATGAATGCTTTGCAATCATTTGCCAGCAGAGATGCATGTGTTCGGCTAAATGGAAATCTTGGACGTTCTCTCATACACCCCATTATTTGTAATTGAACACCTGATTTCTATCATGCAACAAATTAACATCTGCACTGGATCTGTCTTTTATACATATGGATACACTGATTAGAATTTTGCAGATAGGCAGATACTTGAAAACAAAAAGACAACATTGTGAAACACTTCCAGCCATAATTTTTGATTACATATTGAGAATCGTTTAATTATCTTACTCCATGTAATTAGCTCTTCTACTTAGGTCAATTGCTTTTTTTATTAACATGACATGTTAGCAATTTGTTAATTGGCATAAAATAACATGAGACTTTTCTGGATGTTTCATATGAGAAATACATGTGCTTAAGGAAGCTAAGGGAAACGCAAAAAGGTAAATGCGTTCATTAGCCCCATTATAGTATTTTCCAGTGCCACTGCTTGGTGCCACCAAAATGTGTGATTCTACTCTTTGAATTTCTATCCTTCTGTTAAGCAGTGTGAGTTTGTTGATTTGAGTGGTTACCAAAATTTAAGACCATGGGTGTACATTTAAAATAGAAGAGTATTTTCTGAAATTAAAAGAATGACAAAATAAAGAAATGAATGTAAAAATGCTAGTTGGTGGCAGGGAGCTAGGTAGAGAGTTACATACATTCAGGTAAGACAATTATTAATTATTAAGAAAGAGATTTAGTCAATATCAAGCCTTTAAGCTCCAGGCTGTTTTTTTGACCCCTGCTTTTTATTATCAATAATTTTTACATATTAATAAAGATATTATTGGTTATATCTAGAAAGAAAAAATTATTTTCTTTCAAAGAACTTCTCTAGCATCTGGAACAAATAGACAACTACCAGTATCCTACATATTAGATATGTAGGAATTTAAGAGCTGAAAGAGATGTGGGGGTTACTTAGTCCCACACTCTAGAGGGCAAGAGTAATAGGCCTTTCTCAAAATGGGGGTGGAGTGAGAGAAATTTATTTATTAACCCTGTTACTGAATATGTTATGGGCAAAGCACTAGGTTGGGCATTCTGACAAATAAAAAGATAAATTCGCATAACCCTATCCCAGTGAAAATTGTTTAGTGTTCCTTTTTTGTAAGTAATGTTTTTATCCACTTGGGGGCACTATGATCAAATTTAAAAAGCAAACAAGAAAAATGTTATTTTGGTTTATTTCCATTAAAATTGTTTGTTGTACTCTTGGGAAGTACAACTGTATACTTTTAGATAAAATACTTTTTAAATATACAGAGATGGTTAGCTTTTATTCATTTTTGTTTAAGTTTCAGAATAGGTACAGATTAAAACAGCAGTTCTCAAAAGTGTGGATACTGGATACCAGGCCAGCAGCGTCAGCGTCACCTAAGAACTTGAACATGCAAATTCTCAGGCCTGATCTGTCAATCTGGAACTCTGGGAGGTTGTGGGGTTGGGGGAGAGTGGGGGAGGGGGTGGCAGTCTGTATATTCACAAGCTCTCCATGTAAGATTTTGTTGCTTATTAACATTTGAATTAGAATATGTACAGTTGGAAATACTTTTTTATTTCCGACTCTTTAAAAATTGAGTTAGCAATTAGCCTATCAATATGTTTGGAATATTGTGGAAAATGTGTTTCTTAGGAAAGTTACCTACATTAGCAATAGATAAATAAATGAGTCTGAAGACTTAAGGTAATTTTTTTGCACATGATTGTGCAACTGTGTCCATATGAGTCAGAGTATCAGAGTAGTTAGTTGAAGGGTCATTTTTATCTCCTCCTCAAAAAGGAACAATTTGAGATAAATCATTTGTTGTATTATGTAGAAAAATCAGCCAATTGATAGAATTTCCCAAATCTAACTTTTTGCAATGATGTCAGGGGCATAGCCTAGATGTCAAATACTAACAGTATTTTTTGTTTGTTTGTTTGTTTTTTGAGATGGAGTCTTGCTTAGTAACCCAGGCTGGAGTGCAATGGTGTGATCTCGGCTCACTGCAACTTCTGCCTCCCAGACTCAGGTGATTCTCCTGCCTCAGCCTCCCAAGCAGCTGGGATTACAGGCACCCGCTACCACACCCAGCTAATTTTTGTATTTTTAGTAGAGATGGGGGTTCACTATGTTGGCCAGGCTGGTCTTGAACTCCTGACCTTGTGATTCACCCACCTCAGCCTCCCGAAGTGCTGAGACTACAGGCATGAGCCACTGCGCCCA